AAGAGCTAAAATGGGTTTTTGCTTTACTCCTTCTTGCTCATGCTCTCATGAACATCTGCTCTTCTGTACTCTTTAAGGGATGGGGGACAATGTTTGTCTCAGGCTAGATGGGATATATTGCGGCCATCCCTACCATGCTTATATGTACCTATGAATTCCTTTCCAGATAAGAAATTTTATTGAGCCAGTATCAGTTTTTAATGTCTGAAGTGTTTGTCAGTTCTCAAGTTTTTGTATCTCCAATTCCGTAGTGACTGACTGCTAAAGAATCTGCTTGCTTCCAGAGCAGAAATACTTCTGTACTACAGGACTTTTGTTATCAATGAATATAAGCATTAGGAACAAGCAAAAGTAGTACTACTCTTGGGAAAAATCTAATTGCCATAGCCTTAAAATACAGAAGACTTCAATTGATAGTTGGAAAACACTTTGTTTCGGTCATCATAAAAAATGGTCTTAAAAAATTATAGTGGGGTGTTTGGGTAATAGACATTTTTACCCAGAATTATAGTTAATGAAGAAATGTCTTCCAACTTTGGATTATTTTCCTAGGATTAATTCTTAGACCTGAGCTGTTATATTTTTAATACTTTAGGTAGTTTCATTTTTAACTCTTCCGTTGCAACTCATTTTACCTAATGGATTCAATTGTGAAACTGAATTGTTTAAATATATTTATTAGCTATTTGTATTTCCTTTATGAACTGCATTTAGTTCCTTTGCCTGTTTTCATATGAGCTTTTAAAACATTTTAGGAACCAGCTGGCATTTTTCCAAATCATCAATCACGGCTGAATAAATAAATCTCTGTTGCTACTCATTCTCAGGCAAACTCAAGTTGTCCATATGAGGGGGGGAAAAAAAACAACAAAAACAGCCCAATTGCCATTCATTGTCTACACAACTCAGTCTTTGTAACTTTTTCTGTGGAAGCAACCTTTTATGTTCTGCTTCCAGCACATCTTCTGAAGTATGGCAAGATTTATAGTTGGTAGCTATACTTCTCCCTCAGTTTTAGCTGCTTTGAAGGATGACTGAGTCTCTTTGGGTGATCCTCAAGTCCACATAGTGAATTCATAAATAAAGGAAAGCCCAGACTTCAAGTTAGCATTACAAACTTATTTAGTAAAAATCAGTGCTGGGTTTTTTCCTTTCTTTTCTTGGTGTCTCTAACAATGTAATTACAGTTAATCACATTTGTCATTAAGTATGGCTTTTCTCAATTTGTGTTTGTGTCTATCTTGTAGTTACAGCTACTGATTTTTTTTTCCATTTTGTCATTAGAAAGTATGTCTCAAAACACTTAGTCATTAGGGGACCTCTAAAGAACTGTCATGTCTTACTGGTGGATATACAGATTCTTACGTACACCTGGTCAGAGGAAAGCTGCTCAAGACCTTCCTTAAATTTGGGAGCTTATATAACTGAATGCTCATGTCTGACCAGCAGTGGGGTCAGTGTAAGATCTTGGCTCTATTTCTGATTATAACAGCAGGACCCTTGAGCTGGTAGAGCTATTTCCAAAGGGGACAGGTCACTTTTCTGTGTAGAAGGGAAGGTAAGTTAGTGTCTTTTTTACCTTGTTCACTGAGATATGTAATATCACTAGCAAGGCAAAAATCTATCTGTATATTCCTTTTTTTCACATGGTGTCTCATAACATAACTTCCTAGTGGGAGATGACTGTGGCATCGTCATTCTAATGTGGAGAAACTAAGACACCAGCAAAATGCCCTACTGGCCACCTCAGCTCCCAGACTGTGGTGAGCCTTCTACACTTCCTCCCTCTCAGAGGCGGCCGTTTTGCAGTAAACCACATTGCTCTCCTCAAAAACAGTAGTGACTAGGCTAGTCTTTGCCTTGCCTCTATGTAACCACATGACAAACATCTGCCCTGTAGATTAAGACTGCCTGATCCAAGTAATGTAACTATTCACATAAAGCAGCTAAAATAGAGGGACAAGAATCACTGAGTAGTAATTTGGCACAATCCCTCAGAATAAAGGTAGGCAGGATTTTTCAACAGAGTTGAGCATACCTGGAAGTCCTCGTCAAGTGGCCATCTTTTCTGCTGATATTGGGCAGTAGATTTTTTCAATCTTCTCTCATAAACTGAAAAGAAAGTTAAATCCATGATTGAAATCGGTCTTTTGGTGACTGGGGTCAATGCTTCTTGTATAGTCTCATGTCTACAAATCCTCGTGTCAAATGTTGTCCCTGTAGATGTGAAGTGGAAACAAACAAGCATGCTTGTATGTTCAAAATATCTAGATATTAAATAAAAACAGGGATATACACACATGTGTGTATATGTACATGTAGAAAATCTTATAAGTTCAGAAGAAATGTGAAATTCTTCTTTTCTACCTTTGGTTATGTATAAATTATGTTTTAATATTCTTTTATTACTTTTCTGTTGGGCTTAAAGTCAAAACAACCTAGTATGAACCACAAAATATTTTCAGTTAATCTTGGCCAGTCCGTGGTCAAATCTTGGCTAACCATCTTAATTCTTGGGTATTTCCAGTATATCCTACATGAGAAATGGGGCTGACCAAGAACAAAACCAAGCAATGGATCAATAGCACAGAGATGTCATTCAAAAAAGAATTCTGAGGAAAAAATTTAGGGTTGTAATTAGGTTACCGAACACAATTTCAGTTGAATTAATTACCATGTATCTTATTGCCATAGAATAATTGTACTCTGAAAAATTTTATATAAATAAGTTTTCAGAAGGGCTGCTGTATTTTTAGCCACAATACGTACTACTGTATGTAAATAATGAGTAATAACTCCCTTATCGCACAATATTAATCAGAAAATCTGAGGAAACATTGGCAATTACATTAGAGTAAGTCAGTGACATAAAATTGACCCTCTCTTAAAATGAGCTTCCAGTCAGCACAGATTTGCTGTTAACAAAAGTAGTGCACATTTAACTTTCAACCACATAAGTTATTTGAAGAATTGAAATGGTGAATGTTAAATTTGTCTTTAATATGTAGTCACTATACTTTTATCTCAAAAGAAACATTTTTAAAATCTAGCAATGCTAGTATTAATTTTCTACTCAGTTATTTCAATTTCTTTTAAAAGAAACTCCAGGCTTTAAATTAATTTGGTTTATGCAATTTAAATTTTACAATTAATAACCATAGTGAGAAGTGATAACTAGGGTTGTTTTTCACTGTTTATAAAACGTTAATTAAAGCTTCTTTTTCAATATACTGTTTTAAGTATTTCATCTCTTTACCCTCATTAGGTGTGTCTCATTATTAGATATAATGTTACTAAATAGTTATAACTTTACAGCTTCTTTGATTAATGATGGCTTGGACTAAGGTTTCATTGGGTAGGATTAACTACATTTAAAGATGGCAAAATGCCATTGTAACATTAATGCCAGAATTTAATGAAAACCAGAAGTTAACTTCAAGGACCTTCATAATTTAATATAAGGGCATGATCACATTCTGATTATTTTACTGACTGTCCATATTGCCCTATTAAAAGTAAGTTATTTTGGTGATAGTTTTACTCAACAAATACATTGACTATTGATTATGTGCCAAGCACATATAAGTGAGACTGTTTCCCACCTCACGAAACAGACCTTTCTGATCAGAAAGAACATAAATGAGGAACACCTCCCTTATGTAGAAATACTGTGGTCTCTCTTTATCTAGTCTGATGTTGGTTTCCTGTGTTTTTCTGCCTCCTTAAATTCTGGTCTCTTTCTTCATTTCTGGCCTCAGTCACCTCCACTGTCTGATCACAAAGCTACACACCTGTGTCTCTGCAAGGGAAGAGTCTGGGATATTGAGTTTCTTAGGTGTGGGGAGGCTGGAAAGCATGAGTTAGAACTGACTGTTCTAGTTCATGCCTGCAGTGTCTAATTGCTACACCCATAGGAAGAGAACACTTAGTTTTGTAGAACTACATGTAGAACTACACAATGAAATAGGGCCAATAAGAGAAGAAGAATATCTGAAAGTAGTCTAATTTGTTGAAAAAGACTCTTCTTGTGCAGAGGGGATATGGGGATGACTTACCTTCTATGAAATGTAGGTAACATTAAAGGCTTTCCATGCTAAAATCTCATGATTCCTCAAAGTTCAGAATCCCCAATGGCAATGGACCTAATGTAAATGATGACTGTTCATTTTCATAATCATATGTATATATACATGGAAGAAAGTGACTGTAAAAACTGTAAACCACAAGATACAAGAAGTAAAACAGAGTAGAAACAAAACCGTGGAGGAAAACCTCAAGCATTTCTGCTTGTTATTTGGGCTTCCTAGTGGCTAAGGCAAAAAGGAGAAATAGGATAACATGGTGTGATTTTGTGGTAGTGAGACACCACTAGTTCTTGCTCCCAATTAATAAGTACAACTTTTCCAGAGCTTGTATCAGAATCTATGAGCCATATAATGGATGGTAGCCTCATGAATTTTCATAGAAAATAGAAAGAAGTATTCCACATACATCATTTTGTGTATCAGCCTTTGAGCTCATGGAAAGAGTATGTTAAAGGCAAGGCATTTTTCTCCCATGGGAGGGAGGGGAATTGGAAATTTCTGGTATATTTACTGTAGATAGACGTGTATTTTCTTTCAACCCACTGACATGTGGGGTAGTAGAGGATGTAAAGCTGTCTAGTAAAGGGTAGCTTTGTTAAAAGTAGGAGGGGATAAATGGAATTTTTGTGGCAGGATGATATTTGCAAGACTGATCAGGCCGCTGGGAGGTTTTTAAATGTGCCAGTTCCTTGTAACAGGAAGATCAGTCTCTGCTGTAGACAGCATATCCAATTTAGTAAATTATTATTATTCCGTCAAAATTAATGTGAACAATTTTCTCTTTGAGGCTGCTTTTCCCATAGGTGATGTTTTCCAGATGGGCTTTGTGTGAAGCTCTTAATGTTTTGTGTTTTCTTTCCTAGAGCAAGACCCTCTTGTGACTTGTCTTCCTTGCTCTCTCTTTCCCCTTTGCAGGGAAGAGAACACCGAAGGCCAAGGAGAAGAAGAACAAGAAGAAGAGGAAGCTGATAGAGAGAGCCCAAGAGCAGCACAGCGTCTTCCTAGCTACAGACAGAGCTAACCAGTAAAATGAAAGACCCAGAGGGGTGGACTTTGGGGGTTTTTTCTGCGAAAGTGCACAAAGCTACTCTGCCCCCATGGACACTGACTGGCGGGCAGCATTTAGGCTGCTCAGACCAGCATCTGTTCCCAGTAACGTTGTGAACGGAGGAGCCCTGCGAGGGTGGGCTCTGTTATTTATGTTTTGATTTACGTCTGGAGACTGTGAAGGCAGGAACTTGCGAGCTGAATCCCGAAGCAAGAGTCAGTGTACAGCTTGTGACCAGGCTTGGTGGATGCTGAGAAAACCTTCCCTGGTACCACAGAAGAAGGGGCAGGTGGGGTGAGGCCTCAGCCCCCCAACAGACGGGGGATTTGTGCATATTTATGTGAAAGGAGATGCTGAGCAGGCAAGCGCCATTTTAGTCATGGCCTTTGTTTCTCACATCTGCATTTTCCAGGCTAACTGTAAGTGGCTATCTGCTTAGTGTCACCCTACCTTGACCTCAGTATCTGTGACGTTCAAACTGTTGAGTTGAAACTGCTTTGGGATGAAACTGCTTTTAGCTGGGGGACAAGCTACAGGATATTCCTGCTCAGTTTCACAGCGGCTCAAATATGTACATATTCCGCTGGGACTACATATACACCTCTTATTTACTGTATATTTATGCTCTCTTCTGTGTAACAAGTCCTACTTGATTAATATGATGTCACTTTGTTTCTAGAAGTTTCTAACCATTGTCTGGTAAATGACTATTTTAGTTTTTGCAAATTGACAGAATGTTTTGTTGCCCTTGAAACTTCTCTTGGTGGGCTTATTTCTCACGGTAAGGATAGGATAAGCTAGTTTGTACATAGCAGATGACAGGTGTCAAAGATTTTGAATGTGGCTAGCCTTTCCCCACTCCAAGTCTCCTCACACATACAGCCTCACCTGGCAGAAACCAAAACACCCTTTGATTAGATGTGATGGCTTTCTGAAATGGCTCACTTGTATCACTGCAGTTTCACAACTCAGCTAGCATTTTCCAAACTTTTCCAGGCATTGCATATATTTGGGTGTATACTTATTTATGTGCCGAGGCATGCATGTGATGGAAAGTGGTCCCTGACGTGTCACAACAGAGGGACTGCCAATACCCTTGGATCCCTGCAGAAATTTACCATCCTAGAAATAACCACGCACTCAGGATCTGAGGAGAAAACAGGATGAGTTGCTACAACCGCCAGCCAGATCTAGTAAGGTGCCATTGAGCCACAGAATCTATTTCATCGAAAACAGAGGCGTACCCTGCAGCCTTCCCATGGGGTTTCAGAACAGTTCCAAAAGCATTTCATTGTCCATGTGGGGGAGTCAGTTCTTAGGGGGCTGTGAATTGGTTCCTGCTAAAGGTTTCACTATCTGCCTGACTATGCCAGAGGAAAATGAGAACAAAAAGACACAGCAGATTTTGAGGAAGCAACTATGGCAATTCAAAGCCTTGTTCTCACCTTGCATTGGCAAAACTACCTCTTCAGCATTTTTGTTTAACTTTTGAGTCAAAAGCATCTTCCCAATAAATGTCATATACATCATTAGGAAAATATTATGCTATGAGATAATAAGCCATATATGAATGCTGTATACACCTTTAGGGTTTACATTTAATCCTAAGGTTCACCTCTTTTCATGTCTATTTACACGATATTCCTATTTACTAAGTGGGTAGGGGTCTTTATATAGTGCTTCATCGTTAAGTCAACACCTGTTCTGTTTCTGGGATTTTTTTGTGTGCATTAAAAAAAACTTCAAAATTATATTTTGTGGAAAAAAATTTCTTTAGAGATGTATTTTAGAAAAAGCAGTACTTTACCAACTCTAGGCCCAAATAATGGTCTTTACAAACCAATTTTTAAGACTTACGTTGGTAACTACATTTAGAAAAGTTATATAGTCACTGTGCCATAGTATCAGAGTGGGGATTTTAAAACCAGAATGCCTGTCCAGATGCAGAAAAGCTAGAAGCAAATTAAGTAGGTTTCAGTTTCCTCATTTGTGAAATGGACACACAAAAAATCTACTTACAAGTATTTGATTTAAGGCCAAATTAAGAAAAATATCAAGAGGGCTCTATTTCTATTTTAAGGATTAAATTAGGTAAAGTTGTCCATAGTATACTACATTACACAAGTTATGATCAATTACCTCTTTGTATGTTTAAATTAAAAAAAAAATTTCCTGTTAACAAAATAGAATATATTTTGTGAAAGTTATCAGTTTTCTTCAGCTTGATGCTTGATGATATGATACATGTACCACAGAGATACCTCATCATAGCTTACAGTTTCTAGGTAGTTACACAAAGAAGGCCTCGTAGTTGTTCCCCAAGAACTATACCACTCTAGCACTTCATATAATGCATGTCAATGCAATCTATGAAGCTGGTTTACTTCCCAACATTTTCAGATAACTGAGCATATGAAACCTTGTCAAAGTGTGATACATCAGGACTTGGGAAAAGCTAGTTTTATGACTATTTTTTCAAAATGTTAATATCAGTGCTTGTAAACATGGAATGTTCATGTTTGTCTAGAAGCATTTGGAGACATTTAACACTCAGTTGCAAGTATGTGATTCATACATGTAAGTGATTTGTTAGTCCTCCTTTAGAGAAGTTCATTTGGAGAAGTTTATGCATTGTGGATACTACATGATAATACATGTTAGTTGTAAATGTATATTTTGACCAACCTCATCCTATTTCAAAAAGGATATATTCCATCTGTACAGATCCCATTCCCTCTTACCTTTGGGAGAGCTTCAGGATCCAGTCATGTCTTCTGTTTGTCCCCTCACTCCAACTTCAGGTACTTTTCTTTCAAAGTTTTCATTGTTAACAATAGCCTGAAAAAGTAGCATATTTCACTGACGGTTTTGAGCTTCTCCTATTCCCATCTGAGTCTTAACTCTTTGTAAAGTTGTCTCCTCCCCACCACTGTATTGTAATTCTGCAAAAGTAGAAAAAGCACCCCTCTGTGAAATGACAAAAATTTGGTCTTACTTGTCTCAATCCCTTTATGTATCCTATCCCTTGTCTTCACAGAGTTTGAATCGCCCGTGGCCTTTTCTTTGAGAATTTTTTCACTTTGCTCTGTGACACTAACCTTGGTGCGCTGATTTATTGACTGGCCCTTTTCAAGTTCTTTCTTGGTCTATATAAAACATTTTTACTTCAAGGGTGAGCTTACTGTTTAATCCTTTGGGCTTAACCTTTCCATTTCCTCACTCTGCCTGAGAAATCTAACTTTATAGCTCCAAATACCACTCAGATTTGGAAGTTGACAATAGATATGTTTCCAGGTTTTCAGGACTTAATTTTAGTCCTCTTCTACATATCTTGACCAGGAAGCCACACACTTACATAGCGAAAACTGATGTTTCTGCTCTATCAGTAAGGAAATAAGTCTAGAAATTTCAAACAGGGAACTTACAGAGTGAACTTGGGAGCAGCATGTGTGATGGAAAAGAGAGATAAGCAATTAACATTGTAATGCAAATACTGAAAATAGCTATGATCTAATTCCTTTGCCGTATTCACTTGGACTGCAAGCAGAGGTAACAGGTTATTGCAGCTCTCATATGACACTGAGTTGAGCTGGTTGATGGCAGTAAATGGTGAGAAGTTGTTTAATTCAGGACATAGTTTGGCAGAAGAACCCAGAGTTGCTGATGAAGGGGATAATGGAAAGTGAGGAACTAATGTTTCCTGGTTTCTTGCCCTAAGCAACAGGGTACAAGGGGAAGGTGGGGGAAATGGTGGGGAACAAATAAGCCCCTTTTTACATGCTAAGTTTGAGGTATCTGTTACATACCTACTCAGATACCAAATAGGCAGGTAAATACTAATGTGAAATTTGTAGAAAAGGTCAAAGATAGAGATAATTGTGGGATCTGTAAGTGTAAACAGCAATCAGTATCATGGAACTTTACAAGCTGATCCCAAGAGAGATTATGTATAGAGAAACAGAGATACTCCACCCTTGGGGGTCAACCAGAGGAAGAGACTGAAAGGCAGTCAAGCAGGAAAACCAGGAGCGGGTAGTTGCTAAGGTTCACCAAGAACTGGGGTTCAAACCTTACATGGTTTCCTTCCTCCTTATTTTAAAATATCAATGTGATGGACAGTTAAGCAAACTTATTGTAATTGAGGTATTTGGCTTTTTCAACTCTTTCCCCCCTTTTTATAGTCAATAGTTTTATTATTTTTTGAAAATGATTTCAATGTAGAAAGAACTTAGTTCATTAAATCAATTCTTTGGAATATACTCTTACTATTCAGTAATACTTGTTTCAGGTTAACATGTTACCTATCAATTTCATCTAGCTTGATGATGAGAGATTATTTCAATGACCCTATAAACAATTTATTTCATTCAATTTTAATAAAATATATCACGTGAACAACAAAACAAGCATTCTGAATTACAGGCTCTTGGGTTTGTAATTTTCAACAGAAGAGAGTATTTAAACATGTAATTATTGAGGTACTTTGATACCAGTTGTCTGATGTAAGTCCATACATGTTTGAACACAAATATTGTAGACATATGCAATCATAGTATTTAACCGGAAAGCAAGTGTATTTTTAGTGTTCAAAGCATAAAGTAGAATAACTAAAATTTTTAGTGTTTACATTTTTAATTAATGTGTCTAATCTTCACTATCGTACATGCTTCACTCAAGTTTATTCTTTCTTATATATACTACCTGAAAAAACTAAATGCGACAGGGACTTCCACTCCTCACCTACATCTAGTTCTTTCCTTTCTATCTACAACAGAACACCCTATTTCTCAATCCACTTCCAATTGTATGTGAAGTTGAGACTGATTTTAACTAAAGGAATTTGATAAGAATGTCTCTTTAGGACTGTGTACATGTACTTTTTACATGATTTCTTTTCTCCTTTAGCTATGGCCACAGAACTACAGCCACAGGATGAAAATAGCCTGGATCTCTGAGTTACTGCATGGAAAATAATTTCCATGAGTGTTAGAATCAGTTCTCAAGCTTTGCATGATCAAGAAATAAACCTTTCTTGTATTAAATCACCGAGACTCTGGGGCTATTAGTTACTTTTAAATAGTGTGCCTTACTTTATAATGCAGCTTTTCACTTTAACTTTCCTGAGATAAAAAACCGACATTACTTTTTTAGTTGAAACCTAGTCAGTTGACTGGGGAAAATGTCAAAATTATAGTTTGACCAGGATAATCAGTTTGCATAAGTTTAGAGTAAGAAAAATAACATTTTTATGTGTTTCATTTTGATGAAAGAGATTGACATTTTGATGATATGGTACAATAATTTTTAAAAGTAATATTCTTAGAAAGCCAAGGCAGCAAGAATCTCCATAGGTTTTCCCTTTATCCCTGCCCTATGCAACAAATATAGGAAACCTATAGATCCTATTAAAGGACAGTTGACAAAGTGGCAACATAGGAGCTTCATGAATTCCCCTTCCCTCTTAGACACACTGAGTATTCAGCTGAAAACAGAGCAATTTTCTTTTAAAGAAATCAGAATAGCTGAGCTACTTCTAATAGGGAAAATGAGAAAATGCACACAGAGAAATGGGTAGGGAAAACTGGCTCTCTTTCACAATAAACCCCACATCTAGTATAGCACTATGTATGTGAGAAGGAACTTCAAACTCCCCACTTCTCCCCTGAGGAGAGAAGGGTTTGGACTTCACTTTTAGTACTCCAACTTTTAGGACTCCCACCCAAGGAATAGGCCCTCAAAAAATCTAGCTCTATAAACAAATGAGATCCTGGAGAACTACAAGATGGTAACAAACTCTTGAGGGAGATGAAATGAGTATCTTCATACTCTGAAAACTTCTGCCTGACTACTGGCTTTCTAATTTACAAGATATTTTATGTATGTCTTAACAGTATCCACAAAGCAAAAACTTAGAATAGGTAGACAAGAGAGAAAGGAACAAATGCATACAACTACAGAAAAAAAAAATCAATAAATCATGAGGAAAAATATCAAGAGAGAAAGCAATAAAGGAATTTCAAGGCAGCTAGAAAGTAATTAACAAAATGGTAACATGGTCAAGTGCTGCAAAATGTTTCAGTCAATGATACACCACATAGATTATGGTGGTGGTCCCTAATATAGCCTTAATGTATAGTAGGTTATACCATTTAGCTTTGTATATGTGACAAATGTATATATATAGATGTATCATTATTCAGATAATGACAAAATTACCCAACAATCCATTTTGAAAACATATATTTCATCAAGTGATGCATGACTACTGTTTACTTACTACTTAAGTTCATACCTATTAACAATACATTATAAAAAAAAAACCCAAATATATTTCCCCACAAGAGACTAAGCAAAGCTTTAAGACACACTTAGATTGAAAGTCATTCAAAAAAGATACTCCATGTAAATGGAATCCAAAGAAAACAGGTATGTTAACTATGCACAGTGATAAGGGGCAATTATAATAAGACAGAGGAGTTCATTATATAACAAAGGGTTTTATCCAAGTAGAAGATGCAACATTCGTAAATAGATGTCTGAGATTATACACTAAAAATATGAATATGAGTATCTACATGTATATTGCAAATATTAAAAGATATTAAGAGAGCAATAGAGGCCCTCCCTTGTGGCGCAGCGGGTTAAAGCACAGCAGTGAGAAGCTAAAGCCACGTCCACATGAGTTCGAATCCCGCCTGCCACGGAGGTGACCACATGGTGTGGCAGACCTCTCCTAACCCGCCCGCTGCTCCCCTCAGCAGTGTACTTCGTTGATCTGCCTGTTCTGCTCCCCACTCTGTCTCTGATGAAACCTCTCGCCACCCCTGAGCCTCTGGCCTGTACCCCAGTTCTGTATGTACAAATAATTTTTTTTTTTAAACAAACAGCAATAGATATAATAGTAGTAGAGGGCTTCAATACCCCCATTTCAAGAATGAAGAGATATTCAGAGAAAAAAATCCAATTTAAATTGTACATATATGATTAGACAAACCTAGCTAACATTAAAGATCATTTCATCCAATCACACAATGTACATTTTTTTCAAAAGCAGATGGAACAATCATTCTATGTTAAGGCATAAAATAGATCATAATAAAATATATATATATAATACTAAAATCATAGTGAACAGTTTTTTCTGATCATAATATGAACAACGACAAAACCATGAAAAACTCACATATATGTGGAGAGTAAACACATGCCAAAAAACCATGAAGCAAAGAAATCACACTGGAAATTAAGGCTTAACTCTCAGCAATGTCGCTACTATGGCACAAGTTCAATCCCTGGCCAGGGAGCTAACCCACATATGGAGCAGCAGATTTCTCCTGTCTTGCCTGCTCTCCTTAGCAGTGTATTTCAGTAAATCCACCTGTTTTGCTCTCCACTCTGTCTCTGGTGACACCCTGCACCTCTGCCTATACCCCATTTCTTCAAAGCAAAAACAAAGCTGCAAATTAAAGAATATATTGAGACAAATGAAAATATAAACAACATATCCATGCAGCAAACACAACTATAAGTGAATTTTATATCAATAAACTCCTATGTTTAAACTAAGAAAATAAACAGCTCTATCCTTCAGGAGGTGGGGGGACGGAAGCCCAAAACTCATACATAGATGGAATAACAAAGATCAGAGTGGAAATACATGATACAAAGACTAAATACAGGAAAAAAAAAAAAACAGTGAAACTAATTGCTGAGTTGTTTTTTTTTTAATTAATAAAGTAGAACCTCTAGCTAGAATTTACAAGAAAAAAAATCAATTAAGGAGAGCACCAGAATACAAAGACCCTAAGAAACTATTAACAACTTTATGCTAATAAACTGAACAACTGATACTAAATGGATAAATTCCTAGAAATATACAATATATCAAATCTGAATTACAAATAGACTATCTAAACAGAACAGTAGCATAGAGGTGATTGAATCAGTAGTCAAAATCTTCTCTAAAAAGAAAAATTTAGGGTCATAGAGCTTCACTGGTGAATTCTACCAAGATTTAAGGAAGAATTAAAGTCAATCCTTTTTAAATTCTTCTAAAAAAAAAAAAATGGAAGGGATTACTTCCAAACTCATTTTATTAGGCCAACATTACCCTAAGATCCAAACTAGACAAGATGCTGCAAGTAAAGAAAACCATAAACCACTCTCCTGATGAGCATAAATTTAAAATTCTCAAATCATTAGCAAATTCAGTAAGAATCATTCACAATGAGCAAATGCAATTTATTTCAGGGATGCAAGATGATTCAATATCTACAAGTGATATATCACATTTAAGAAAGTAAGAATAGAAAGTAAGAATAGAAATCTTACAATCATTTCAGTGGATGCAGAATAAAACTTGATAAAATTCAACAAATTTCATTATAAGAACTCTCAAATAGGCATAGAGAACCTGCATCATAAAAAAACACATAGCTAACAGCAGATTCAGTGGTGAAGTGCTAAAACTTTTCAGATTGAAATGAGATAATAATTCCTACTCTTGCTAGTTTTATTCAAAACAGAACTGAAAATCCTAGCCATGGCAATTAGGAAAATAAAAGATGCCCAAATAGTAAAACTCACTATTTTCACAAATCATATAAAGAAAATTTCAAAGACTCCTTAAAAAACCAAAACCAAAAACTGAGTTAACCAATTCAGCAATTTTCAGGATACAAAAATCATTATTCAAAAATGAAGTGGATTTCACACTAATACAGTAATAATGAGCTATCAGAAAGAGAACTTAACACTAAAAATACCATCAAAAGCATAAGTCATAAAATACTTAGATATAAATTTAACCAAACAGGTGAATGATCTATACATTGAAAATTATATGACATTGATGAAATAAACTGAGGAAGACATAAATGGAAAGATTTCCTATATTCATAGATCAGAATTACATTTGTTACCATGTCCATACTACCCAAAGTGACCTACAGATTCAATTCCATCTCTATGAAAAATCCAATGGAAACTTTTCAAAGAAAAACATCCATACAATTTGTATGGAACCACAAAAGACTCTTACTAGCTAATGTGATCTTAGGAATAAACTGTAGGCATCGCACTTCATGACTCCAAACAATAATACAAAGCTGTAACTCAATATCCTATGGTATTGGCGTGAAAACACATAGGCCAATGCAACAGCATCAGGAGCCCAGAAATAAACCCAAGCAAATGCGGTCAATGAATTTACAACAAACAAACCAATAAGGTACAATGGGGAAAGGATAGTGTCTTTAATATAAATGGTGTTGGGAAAGCGAGTTGCCAATGCAAAAGAATGAAATTTGATTTATATATACAACATGTATCCACATCAACTTGAAATAGATTATATGTTGAGTATAAGACCTGAAACCATACAACTCTTGGAAGTATGTTTATGCTCCAAAGCACTGGTCTTAGCTATAATTTTTTTTTTTTAACGTCAACAGCAAAAATCAACAACAATAATTTTGGATTCCATCAAGCTAAAAAGCTTCTGCTCAGCAAAAGAAACCATCAGTAAAAAGAACTTGAGAAATAGAATTAAAGGAAATATTTCCAAATCACATATCCAGCAAAAGGGCTGACATCCAAAATGTATTAGGAACTCATACAACAGCAAAACCCAAATAAGTGAGCAAAGATCCTAAATTAACATTTTTTCCAAATAAGACATACAAATGGACAGTAGGTACATGAAAAAGCACTCAGTATCTTTAACCAGGGAAATGCAAATTGATACATGTCACTTCATACCTGTCAGAATGATTATTACCATAAATGTAAGGTATAGGTGTTGACAAACATGGATAATAGGGAACTCTCATGCAATGTTGCTAAGATGTGATTTGGTGCAACCACTAAGAAAAATTGAATTTTCTAAAAAAATTCAAAATGTAACTATCATCTAATCTATCAATCCTACTCTTAGGTATATATACAAAGGAAATAAAAATCCTTACTCAAAGGGGTATCTTTACCCCTATGTTTAATAAAGCAATAATACTCGAGAAATGGAAACAACTGTCTATTAATGG